AGGAGATAGGAGAGAGAGGGGATGGAAGGGGGGGAGGGAGGGAGGGGGAGGGAGGGGAGGGGAGGGAGGGGAGCGGAAGGGAGAGGGAGGAGGGATGGGATGGAGGGAGAGAGAGGATGATGGGAGGAGGGGAGGGAGGTGGAGATAGGGAAGGAAAGAGGAGGAGTAGCAGAAGGATGAAAATGAGAATTAGAATGAGGAGAGTAACAAGAAGCGGGGGAAGGAGGGTATAGGAGTAGGACAGGAGGAGAGGGATTAAACGTAGAATAGGTAGACAGATTGACGTAAATCCACGTTGAGAAACGGAGTGAGGGGGGACCAGGTCGACGCCCCCCTCCCCCTGAGAGCTGAGCAGAGAGGCGTTACGCTCGTCCAGACAGGAATGCAGCCGAGATGGAGCGACGGCGAGCAGGGAGCAGGGAGAATACCAAGGAGCAGAGCAGAGAATGGGCCAAGGAGCAGAGAACAGAGAGCAAAGTGCAGTGGGCAAGGAGAAGGGAGCTCGCTGGCTCTCGAAACCTTTAATGGCGATTAAGCGAACGTGCGTGCGATAGCCGCCGAGACTGAGCGGCCTGCTCGGCGATCATGGCGACGCCAGGGGAAAAAGAGCCTCGTCTGAGCACATCTCCCGCACGAGCAGCGTCTCCGCGCCCCCGTGCACCTCTCTCTGCGCGCAAGACCCACGTCGGTGGCGAGGCGGACCCAGCGCAGCCGTCGCAGGAAGACGTTCGCCTCGGGGCTGTGGCGTCGGCCTCGAGGAAGGCCCGGCGCGGGCGTGCGGCGAGCCGTTCCAGAGACAAAGGCTTCGCGGCGCTATTGTTATGGACGTCGGCGGCAAATTACGCCTTCTTTATCTCCTCCAGTCACCGTGCACTGAGCGGAGGAGGTAATTGTGGCGGAATCGTGAAGACTGTGCGGCTGAGGCCCTCGGCCCGTCGGCAAGACGCCGTGATGAGCGGCGGCGCGTCCAGGCCGCCGCGCCTTTGTCTTCGGGGCGGCGGCGGCGGGAGCGACGGGCGGCCGCGCGCCCTCCGGCCCTGCCTCCGCGCTGGCTCCTCTGTCCGCAGCGAAGGGCCGGGTGAGCGGGCGGCGGCCGTGGTGTATCGGCCATTAATGTTTCCGACTCTCGGGGCGGGAAGTCATTTGGGAATTAGCTCGACGTCCATCAGCTCGCGATAGATGGGACTTGGGCGTCCTCCTGATTGGCGGGCAGGAGGACGCCGCCCGCCAATCAGGAGGCGGCGTGGGGCGCTTCGCCGACCTGGAACCGAATGAACAACTGATTGCACTCCTGTCCCTTAATCTGAACATAATCGGCAACATGGCAACCTCCGCAAGACTAATTATTGTTCGTAATTAGGGTGAGAGATTGCGCTAATTGCATCATTATGCGCCCTACGTATGGATGCAGTCGAGAGCGGCTGATAATGAACGACATGTTGCGCAGGTTGATAAGGAGGGCGAGAAGCCGTGACGAATGGGGGGGGGGGGGACCTGCCGACCGATCCCTGGGGGGGGGGGGTGAAACGGGCTCTCTCCCTTCTCTCTCTCTCCCTCCTTTCTGTCTTCTTTCTTTCCTCTCTCTCTTCTCTCTCTCTCTGTCTCTCTCTCTCTCTCTCTGCTCTCTCTCTCTCTCTCTCTCTCTCTCTCTCTCTCTCTCTCTCTCTCTCTCTCTCTCTCTCTCTCTCTCTCCTCTCTCTCCTTCCTCCCTCCTCCTTCCTTCCCCTCGCTTCCCTCCCTCTCTGCTTCTCTCTCTCCCCTCCTTCCCTACCCTTCCCTCCCTCCTCCCTCTCTCTCCATCTTCCCTCTCCTCACCATTCTCTCTATTACCTCTGCATTGAGTCTACCAATTGCAAGCGGTGTGTTACGGGCAGGCAAGGGATCGGACGGCAGTGCTTGCAAAAAGTCACGTGAGGCAATGAGGTGGCGCTTGCAACGCCCATGGCAGCGCGGGCGAGCAGGTGCGAGGGCGTGTCAAGAGTGGGAGACCAAGACCTTTATACGTATAATAGACCTTGGATATAATTTAGGTTTAACAACGCTTTCCTTTTCTTCTCTTCCTTTTTCGTTTTAGATTGGAAAGGCCTATTGAAAGGGGTAGGGTACACGGGGGGAGGGGGGGTACTTCTTGACTCTTTGGTGCGGGACAGTTGAGAGCGGGTGTGGCGGGTGTGGGCGGCGGGCGCGGAGGAAGGTGGGCGGGCGCGGCGTGCGACGTGGCGAAGCTCGCGCGGACAAAGATGGCTCAGGCTGCAACAGGTCAAGGGAGCGCGGGGGAGGGAGGGAAGGAGGGAGGCCGGGAGGGGAGGGAGAGAAGGGGGTTGGTGCAGGAAGGCGGAGGGCGGGCGGGGGGGGGGGGGTGTTAGCAGGAAGATAGAAAGGGGAGGAAAGGGAGGGTGGGGGAAGGAAAGGTAGAAAAGAGAGGTTAAAGAAGACAGGGGGAAGAGGGAACCGAGGTGGGGAGGGGCTGTTGCAGGAAGACCAAGGGAAGGAGGAGGGG